TTCATTAATTTATTGTAACCATCGTAAAATTCATTCTTCCCCTTTGCAGTAAGTTCTAAAAAAGCCTTTTATGTCCTGGCTTTTATGCGCTTTTGCATATATACAATTAGCAAAAACGCATATTGGGAAGAGGCTGTGTGTGGGTGTCTGTGTGTTCGCAGTTTTTGTCACTCACTTTCAACTCGAGAATCAGAAAAGCTAGAATGATGAAACTTTGGGATTATGTGCCCATACCACGCATGACCCTCCCATTTCAATATCATCCCATGCGTATCCCTGGGTACTGCGTATGGACACCTTAAAAAATATGCAAATTTTTTGGCGAGAAAGCGATCTCGGAAACCAGATAGGGCAGTGGGTGAAACTTTGTAGGGATATTTCCTGTGCATGTGTGAGCTAAAGATTTCAAATTCGGCCCTCAGGTATGCGTGACACTCACGTGTAGCGTGTGAAAGTTTGGCGGATGACTACTAACTCGGGAACCAGGAAAGCTAGAAAGCTGAAATTTTGAGGGAGTGTTCCGTATCCAAGTACAACTTAAATGTTTTAAATTCAGCCCTCAGTTATGCATGGTTCTCGCGTACGAGCACGTGGAAGATTTGGCGGGAGAAGACTGAAATGTTAGTGGGATGGTCCCTGTCCGCGCGTAATTTAAAAATTTCAAATTCAGTTCCACAGGCACGTGAACTATCCACACGCGGACATGTGAATGTTTTTGCGGGTAAATTACTAGCTCGGGAATCAGGAGAGCTAGAAAGCTGAAATTTTTGAGGAATGTTTATTATAGAGGAAATTTAGAGGAAATTTTAAAGGAATTTTGAAGGAAATTTTAGAGGAATGTATAATTTAAATATTTCAAATTCAGCCTTCAGTTACGCGTTGTTCTCACGTATGGGCACATAACAGTTTTGGCGAGAGAACTACTCATTGAACAGCAAAGCTACTTTCAAAGGACGACTATTAAATGGAAATTGTACATTTACTTTATATAAAATTTGTGGTGATTTGTGCTAATGGGCGCAAAACGTGGGTGTAAAGCAACAGCCATTCGTGCTATTAATGACCTGAGTAATTTAAGTCCGACACAGAAACGCATGAGCGCACTGGCAAGCCTGGTGCGTTCCAATTCGGATAGCGCGTATAAGCAAATGCAATAATTGGCCAACGCACGGACTGGCCATGCGAAGATGCGCTTTTTTTTGTAGCTACCGGCATCAGTTTTTTCGGTAAGCGCTTCTAGATAAACAAGTTAAGACTGGCCGCAGAACTGTGAGGTAACACCCCCTTAAAATTTCAGCTCCTAGCTTTCTTGGCCTCTGAGTTAGCAACTTACTGGAAAAAATTTTCACGGGCTGGCACGTGGGTACCGCGCAAACCCGATGTCTGGGATTGAGCTTGTGGAGACTTACTTGGACGGGAAGCATCCTCTTAAACTACAGTCTAACTACAGCTTTTCAGGTTCTCCAGTTAGCAACTTATCCGAGAACTTTGGTGAGCCCGTGCGTGAGTACCACGTATACTCGAGGGCTAGGTGTGAGCTGAGTGACAGTTAGGCGGACGTGAAACATCACCCTAAGATTTCAGCTTTCTAGCTTCTTAGATCCCCGAGTTATCAACTTACCGGAAAAAGATTTTACGGCCTGTACTTGAGTACCACGCTTACCTGGGGACTCGGACTGAGCTCATTAATGCCTACTTGGACGGGAAACATCACCCCAAGATTTTAGCTTTCCAGCTTCTCAAATCCCCGAGTTATTAGCTTACATGATAAAAATTTTGGCGGACCCGTATGCGGGTGCCACGCTTACCCGCGGTTGGTTTTGAGCTCATTAATACCTACTTAGACGGGGAACATCCCCTTAAAATTTCAACTCCCAAGCAGTTTCACCTTATCTGGTTCCCGAGTTATCAGCTTACCCGTAAAAAACTTGGGCTCACTTTGGAGATTGGGGCCTAAACGTGCATGTTGATTAAGTCCCCAGAGTTTCAGCCGTGTAGCTTCTGCAGGTCTCGAGATGAAAAATCGGTACAGATGCCCTGCGCACACACAGACACACAGACAACCTCTCATCAATATGCGTTTTCTGCCTTGCACAGCTGCAAAAAACGTACGAAAATGCATAATGTGAGAAGCCCTATGTGTGTTTGCTTGTGTGCATCTGTCTGGGAATTTCAACTCGGCAGCCGAGCAAGCTTCGGCGCCAAAATTTTGCCAGTGGTTTTCCGCGGTACTAACCCTCATGCACGTCTGGGCCTCGCGCATAAGCGCTTGAAAATTTTGGAGAAAATCATTAACTCAGGAACCAGAAAAACTGGAAGGCTGAAATTTTGAAGAGAAAATGGGGGACAAAAGTTTTAAAGCCATGAAACCTCTGGGCAGGAAAATTGCCAATTCAAGAACCAGAAAAAACGGAAAGCAGAAGTTTTAATGGAATGTTCCCTGTCCACGTACCGTTAGACAACTAATTTCCCGAACTTCGAGGACCAGCATGTCACAGATCCTAGTTACTGGGTTTCCGAGTAATCTCATTACAGCACGAAACAGCACGAAATACTTCAAAAAAAAAA